TGGTTTTTTTTCCCCTCCCATCATGCAAACAGACTTGTCATTTGCTCATTTATCTAGAAGATCTTAATTACACTTTGCACACATGATGGTGTTTGAGCAGCAATATCTGTGAGAAACTGTTAGGAGAAATGAATGTGAGAAGTGGTTTTCTGACCATGAGAATAAAATTTCTTACCACCTTCTTTTTAAAAGTGGCAGAAATTAGAGATTCTAAAATAAACTCTGGGCAGAGGTGTGCAAAGACATCACCAGCAAGAGAAGACTCTAATTTAGGGTATAACTCTTGACTTCTTAGCAGCACAGACTTTTTAAATAGTGCAGTATGTGGTGGTTTGAACTGAAGTAATCATTCTGGGAGCTGGATAACATTGATAGTTTTTGTAAATCCGTCCTGGATAGCTCTAAAGGTTTTCTCTTGTTTTAAAGCTATGTGATCTTTAATATATACATTTCTTAATCTCCCTTTCATTACATTGTTTCTAAATTTCCAGTCGAGGCTTGTGGGGACAGCACTGTGAATTGTACGCATGCTGGGAAGACTGCTTCATCTTCATGACAGGTCATGCAATTTATTTTTTTTTTTTAAGATGAGGTGTGTGACAGTTCCTGAAGGCATGAAAACTGAGTCATGTTTCATGATAATAGCAAGAGAGCATCTCGCTGTCTGCCCTGAGTTACAGCGCGCAGGTGCTGCTGACACACGTAATGCTGATAATTAACGGGGCTGCATTCAGTAAGCAAGACAGGTCTGAGTTCAGTCTGTATGCATGGTGAACTTTCCTTACGCTCTGCATTTCAGGACTTGGCTTTCAGTGGTAGCCCTAAATCTGGCTATGCTGTACTTTTGTCCTTTTTTAAAAACAAATGTAATTCTTTGTATGTAATTAAAAAACCCTAACTTGTTGCAGCGGGTAGGTAGTCTGCCTTTTATTTCTCTGGTTACTTCTGCTGTATCATATACCAAGGATGAATCTTTTTCAAGTGACATTGCTCTGGAAAAGTGGAGTCTGTATCTCTGTGAATGTAGCCAGGAGGAAGGCTGCAGAGGGTGGTGGTCATCAGAGAGCTTGTATGTTTGAGTACCTACAAGCTCTCATGCTTGTCACAAATGAGGGAGAACACAGTATTTATTCCTCTTTGCTTTCCAATATTTGTCACTGATTTGTCTTTAGAAATCATAATTCTTCCCTGCAAAATTGTAGCTCCCTGGGCCTCTTCCTCTCCCATGCTATCCTAGCCTTCAGGAAGCTTAGCAGGAAGGATCAGTTTGAAATTAATTGTCAGGAGAGAAAGAGAAAGTAGCTGAACTTGGTCAATAAGAAAGACGCAGCAGGTTGCAAAGATGGAAAGATGGATTTGCACAGCAAAGGATATGTTGGCTTGGGATTGAACATAACTGTGCATATCCAGCCTGAGTCGAGTGCGACTGGAAGCTGACTGATGACGTCCAATGGTGATTTACTTCCCCCCTTATCTCTGTTAAACACTGCTTAGCAAACTCAGAGTGCATTGCGGCCAACTTTTGCTCTCTTAATACAGCAAGCTGAATGAAAGCTGGAGTCAGATAGCCTTCCGGTGAAAAACTGCAAAAAGGCTGGCATGTTATCAGTTGTCATATCCTACAAGAGCAAGCTGTGTTGTGTGGTACTTCCATTATCTGGGGAGCGGGAAACAGAGCGGGCTGGTGGAGTTGGGTGCAACCGTTTAGAAATGTGATTTGTGCGTTTCTTTCTTCACAGAAACCTGCCTAAAGTATTTCCTGAGGCTTTTCTCAGAATCTGTGTCAGTGCAGCAAGTTAGCTAGTGGCAACTCTGTCTTGGAGAGTAGAAATTTAGAATGATGACACTGTAATATCTTTATAAGATGACCTAGATTAGAAATGTCTTGTTCTTGGTTTGCAGAAATCTGTTCAAATATTTAATATGACTTGGAGCTGGGTTTTTTCTTTTTCTTTTTTTTTTTTTTTTTTTCCCTCCTGTAGAGACAGAAGTAAAATTCAAGTGAGAAATACTTAAAATGCCTCTAGGACCCAAACAGTTTCAGGAACAGGGGAACTGGAGTTAAAATACATCAGAAACATGCAGTCTGCACCCATGATTTACATACTGCTATGGCATGGAAAGGGATGAGAGATTTCCTGTGTTTCACTCTGCTGCTTATGGTTGTATGGATTTAATCTTTTAAATTTCACAAGATGTCCAGCTTACAAGTTAGAAGTCTGAATTAGGTTATAAATGAGACCACTGAAAATCCAGATTGCCTTGCTTAAAGCATGTAGCAGGATTACTCCTTCCCGTTGAGGCCTGGAGGAGCAGGACCAGTGCAGTCCCAGCTTTGGTCTGGTCAGATCTGAAGTCTAGACTGCAGAGCTGGCTAGTCCAAAGCAGGAGGGCAGGGCGCTGTGGGCGGCTTGTCCTCACGAGGAAGACTTTGATGCTTTTCTCTCCCCTCTCTCTTGTTACTGTCTCAAGATTCTGCCTGTGTTTAAACAGCCTGAAATCATCTGCACAGGCATCTTACTGGGATGGAGAAGGGTACATCCACCTTTTTTGCTAACATCACCGTACTCCCATGGCTTAAAGCTCTCTGCCAACCATTGTTTTAGCTCAGTGCATTGGGACTGAATTCCCCTTGGGCAAGTCCCATTTACAGTGTAGTTTCAGTTGGTTGATGAGACCTTGCAGATAGTGTAGAGAAACTGTCATCCTACTCATTTTACCCCAGAAGAGAAGGGAATCTGGAGCCTATGTGAAGTGGCTGCAAGCAGAAGAGTCCTGTACTTCCCCATGCAAAACTCTGAGTTGGGCAGACTTTTGGGAACAGGCTGCTTCCTTTTTCTTCTTTCCTTTTTTAAATTTTTTTTTTTTTTAACTCCTTGCAATCATGGTGAATTAAGATGATGAGATGGCACAACCTTTCTCACCCGTCTGAAAACTTTCCCATCCTTCTGAAAGATTGTACAGCTTCATATGTTGAGGGTGGGGTTTTTAAAAGCATCAAGCGTTGCTGTCGGTCTCTTGGCATAGTTTGAAAGGTTTGCCATCAACTTGAATGCAGACAGAGTTAGGTGGCCCTTAAATGCATTTTGTTTATCCTATCCTGAAAATCTAAGGTCTGTGACACGGCAAGACTGTGCTTTCCTACATACTCTTCTGAAGTGTTGGGTAGCCAGTGAGTGGTGAGCTACATGTAGCAGTGTAAACAAGACGTCAGAGAAGGAGACGTACAGGTCTTGAATTATGATCATCACCATAAAAAGCAGGCAAGAGCTTCACAAGAACTAAGGGGAGGAGGCTGTGAGATGCAGAGAGATTTGCTTTGTTTAGCAGAGCAGCAGGGTGGCCTGAGAATGGACAAACCAGACAACAAAATAGGACAGTGGTTTACCAAACCAGTTCCTTCAAAAAGAGTTGAGCAAGTGAAGAGCAAGTCTGGGCCTAGCTTAGATGCTCTCAGCTCTCGCTAGCTTCTGATGCTTTACTTGAGTCACTTGTAAAGAATTATGAAAATTAACGGAGATGATTGCCAATCTAGTTCCACAGACTTTGGTTTGACATTTACATGGGATTTAGAAGGGAAACTGTAAGGTCAATACCTCCTTCTTCTTGTGTTCATATAAGGGGTTCATCTCCCATAGCATGATCCTAGAAGGACATCTCCTCTCCAAAGAAGGCATCTTGAGTAACTAGTGGCAGTGCAGACATGTTCCCTGTGCTCTCCCTGAAACATATCCTCTTCTCTGATGGGCAGAACAACTTGAAGAGCTCCCTGTTAAAAGGAAATGTTCAAATACTGCAGGGATCTGCAGTGGTGTGGCCAAGGAATCATAAAAGAATGGTAAAGTCAGACTGGCTTGGGAAATCCTCTGTTTTGTTTTGGTTTTATCATTTAGCTAGGTTACTGTAATTCAGCTTTCCTGATCTCATTAGGCAGTTGATCAAGCTGTCATCAGCTCTTTCTGCTGTTGTCATTAGAGAAGGGTTGAGAATAACGCCCTGCTTACCAGCACAGACAAAAATGAATGTAAAGCACATTGCCACTGCCTTGACAACAAGCAGTTACATGTGTTAGCTGATTAAGTGGTGGTGGGTTGCTTTTTGTTTTGTAGTAAGGTTGCATATTTATTGGGCTGATTTTAACAAGACTAGTACAGGAATATTTACAAAAGAACTGAGAGGAGAGTCTTTAGAGACTTAAGATACAGATTTGTTGTTTTTTCATATAAAACCTCTGTTTAAGAAAAAATAACACTATTTTTTTTCAAACCTTAACGTATTCCTTTCTGCAAGCGTTCCTTTTGGCATCAGACTCGTGATGCATGACAGAATAATGGAGAATAGTAAGATTTTCACGTTTGAAGTGGAACAGTTCATGGAAAATGAGAGGCTGAAGTGTTAGGCTATGCAAGTTTAAACTCTCTTTCAGCTTTAATAAGCTATGGCCTCTCTAGCAAAATAAAAAATGGGGTTTGAATTACAAATGGCACCTGCAATTTGGGATTAAAAAGGGTTTTATAAAAACTGGCTTCTTTTTTTTTTTTTTTTCTTTTTTCTTTTTTCTTTTT